CTTTGATTCAACATAAAATGAGCAAGCCTAGACCGAACGGAGCATGGTCCAAGTTTGTGAGGGGCAGAAAACGAAAGGTGATATGCTAGAAGAAACGATCGAGCAGTACAAGGAAATGTTTATCATTGCACGAAGGGAATTTCCGAAGGTCGTCTCGGTAAGCATGGACAGATATATCGAACGCTATGCCTAACTTTTGATTAGAGCGTACGACGTTATCTTGATGGGAACGGGGAAAACCAGGCCGACGACGCAGGGCCGAGGGGCGGCGGCGGGGATGACGGGGGTAGAGGTGGTGGTGGCGGTGGTGGTGGTGGTGGAAGGGGGCGTGGGGGCGCTCAGCCTCCGAGAAGTCGAGGTGCCCCAGCTCCACGTAGTCGAGTCTCCAGGACCGGAAGTGGGCATGAGCCTGACACCTCTGAAGACGGTTTGTTTACTCCCACCATTGTTTTGCTAGCAACTCATAGCTTTTTAGACTTTCCTGCTCCACCTCCACCTCCCAGGAGTCGAACAAACCAAACTGCAACGGTTTCATCACGTCAAGCTCTAGCTTCTACTTCAAAGTCAACTTCAAATCGCCCCGTCAACTCCTCAACATCCAATTCATCAGGGAAACCTTCTTCCAGTCGACAGGTTACTCAGCGAAGAAATGATTTGAACCTTGATCTTCATTGCGACTGTGGGATTCTCGCTAGCCAGAAAACTGTCGTCAGCGATTCAACCAGCAAGGGAAAACCATTTTGGACCTGTGGTAATAACAAGGCATGCTCTTTTTTCCGGATGGATACGTCTCCTGCTGTTGGGCAACCAGTGGTTCCGGCAAAGAGGTCATATTCAGCGGTATTTCTTGTGCTTCTTTGCTGCTCGGCTTGGGTTGAAGAAACCTAACAGCGACAGGACAACTCCAACTCAGAAGCTGTTCGCATGTGCAATTGTAACATGGCGGCTGTTCAGCGGACCGTAACATCGGCTACGAGTGCAAATAAAGGGAGAGTATTCTGGAAGTGTCCGGATTCGACCCCTGGGGGTCAAGAAGGATGTCAGTTTTTCGAATGGGATACAGATACTCCCGGAACTTCACGCCCACCGCGCTCCAATGCGTCTCCTGCAGCGGAGTGCTACAAGGTACGCTCTCCTGGTCCCGATGTCAGCTAGCTGACGAACGCAATTCAGTGTAAGGAGCTAGGACATTGGGCTGCTAGTGGGATATATTTTTCACATTTGAAACGCCCTATTCACCCAATCATACAGATTGTCCCAACCCCGATGGCGGCGACAATAAGCGACAGCGAAGTTTTGCACCGACCGGTGACACCGCGTCATCATCAGTGACCTGTTTTAAATGTCAACAAGAGGGACATTTCAGTAATGGTACGTAGGTTTACCCCACTTCCCTACTATACTGACTCCTGTGTAGCCTGTCCTAATGGTAATACAACGAAATCAACTTTCGGGCATGGTGGTGGGTCTTCTGATGATGCATGCTTCAAGTGTGGGAAAACTGGTCACTGGAGTAATGGTATCTGTCCTTCGCACTGCGTGTACGCTCCTGCTCATGCCCCTGCAAATCCCAGCCTGCTCAGGGGAAGGTACATCGACATCGCAATATACAAATAGTGGCCGAGGCTCAGGAAAGCGGGGTCGGGGTCGAGGGGCGGCCAAAGCCAAACGAGGTCGTGGGAGTAAGAAAAAGTCGGCGTTTGGTGCGCCAGATTTTTGAAGGCGTATCATGATCTCAATACCTTTATATTGCCACTGAAAGCTTTCCATTGTCTCCTACTCACCAGTTGCGCAGATAAATGATGACATATCAAGGTTTCGCGGAAACCTACGGAGTAATATGTGGGGAAACCTGAGATTGCCACATTGAAACCCCATGTTGTTGTGATCTTGCCTGAAAGTGGATATCGTCATATGCTCTCTTCTAGGTTGTGTGGATGTCATATCTCCGATTAGTGCTCAACTTGTCAATGGTGAAAACGCGACAACATGGCGATCTACTCCGCAAATTTCCCATACATTCAGTTATCAATATCTTCTCCGCTATCATGGTCAGCTCTAATGGCACACTTTTGAGCTGGAAGGCTAATTTCCGTACCTGATCGCTTCATTTTCTTTTCCCGTATATCCACACTCATCGCAGTTGACGAGTGATATAGGGTATTCCTTTAAAAGGGCTCTCAAGGTTACAAGTTTTATCGTCTACTCTCCTCTGTCCTATCTTTGGAGACATACACTCAACTTCTCTGGCCATGTCGGAGTCAATCCTCACGACCACTTCGTTCGATACGCTCGCGGAACAGAAACCTGAAGATAAACCCAAACTTGAGCAGAAGGACGAAAGCCAGGTGTTGGAGCAGGAGCGATCCTACCTCGTCAGCGAAGTTGAATACAAGAAGCTACTCCGTAAACTTGACATCCACCTCCTCCCCTTCATATCACTATTATATCTCCTGTCATTCCTGTGAGTTTATGGTCTTTATTTTATTTTAAAAGTAGTCCTAGCTGACATTATTTTCAGGGACCGGGCAAATATTGGTAGGCGTTTCTTCCCGTTCAATGTTTCGATATACCATGACTTAATCCGTCTCTAGGCAATGCGAGAATCGCCGGACTGGGTGTGGATCTTCACCTGGATGGGCTCAAGTACAACGTCGTAAGTTGCCAGGCTCATTTTCTTTATTGGCCGGAAATTGACTTGAGGGTGTGCAGGTGGCCGCGGTATTCTTCGTGCGTCACTCAGTCTTGCACTGCAATTGATCATATCACTGAAGAAATACTAGATACCATATGCGCTTGCTGAGGTACCTTCGTGAGTTTATCAGCTGAATAGTGCAACATTCTCTCTTATATCAATGCGCTGCAGTAATATCTGTTTAAAACTGCTTCGACCTTCCCGTTGGAGTGAGTATGAAAGCTTCCCACAATAAAGATTTAAAGACTGATGTCGCCTTCTAGTTCCATCGATCATGGTTGCCTGGGGTAGAAGTTTTCCCCTCTTCCTTCATGCAGGGATGGTATTGACGTTTATGACTAGGAACTGTCAACACTCTGATGTGCCTCTGCAACTCCTATGAAGGTCTTATCGTGTATGTCCTGAATTTAGAATCTGCGCTACCTCTTCTAAATATTTACTAGCGGACGTGTCTTTTTGGGATTGACAGAAGCTGGTCTCTTCCCTGGTGTGGGTGCTAATTTCCGCTACCCCTTGCATAGCATGAGCAAGCTGACCGCCCTCATCTTCTCTAGATCACTTATTATCTATCCCTGTGGTACAGGAAACGTGATGTAGCTGTAAGAATCGCCATATTCTTTTCGGCTGCGACCCTCGCAGGCGCTTTTGGTGGAATTCTTGCGTATGCCGCAACCGTTACATATTATTTACACGCTAATCAACTATTTCAGATTTGGAATAGAGCACATGGATGGCATTGGAGGCCTTCGTGGCTGGCAATGGATTGTGAGTCTGACCTTGGGAATCGCTTTTCTCAAACGCTTAATACTATTTTATTTAGTTCTGTCTGGAAGGTCTTCGTATGCACCGCTCATTTTTATTAATTAATAAATGAGGTTTGACACATTTTTAGTGACTGTCGTTGTTGCTATTGGCGCATTCTTCCTTATGCACGACGTAATTATTGTCATCTTTTAGCCAAGGGTTTTCATTTATACTCACTACGCCACTAGTATCCCGCTACAGCCCGATTCTTGACTGAGGACGAGAGGAAGACTATCATCGCCATGCTCAAGGAAGATACTCAAGGTCTCGCTACACATTACGACAGGAAGTTCGTCTGGCAAACCCTCAAGGACTACAAGACATACGTACAGATGGGCATCTACTGTGGTCAGTGTGTCCTTGGCTCAACATCACCGCTGATACTGATTTTCATCTCGAGGATAGGGTTGCTCCTGACTGTCTACGCTGTCTCTCTCTTTGCTCCAACCCTAGTCAAAGAGCTTGGTAAATATATGAAAAATCCGCTATTATTGTGGTAAGGTTGCTAATCGCCATTTGCATCCAAGGATTCACTGCCGCCCAAGCCCAACTCCTTACCATTCCTATCTTTGTCGCCGGTTGCATCACTACACTTTTGTGTATGGCTATCTCTCACTTTCATATCTGCCATGATTTTCGCTGATCCTCTCCAATAGTTGGGTTCTTGTCCGATAGATATCACTTACGAGGACCATTCCTCATCGGGAGCATTATTATATCAATGATAGGTTTCATCGTTTTATACACACAAGAGAAAGCCGGAGCGTCCTACGCTGGTGCTGTGATCGCTGCCATGGGTATTTATCCCACTATCGCTATAGACTTGGCGTGGGCTAGCTCATCTTCAGGCGGAGACGTCGCAAAAGGTATGTTGTCTGAATATGCCGAAGAAAGCGGAAGTTGAGCTTCCATAGGTGTTTTGATTGCGATGGTGGTTGGAACCGGTAATCTTGGAGGGTATGTTTTAACTCAACGTTTTGGAGCTTAGCTCTAATGCAGGTATGCGTAGCATCTGCGCTTCGTTTATCTTCATTACGCCTCCGCGCTTCCACATCGGACATGGTACAATATTAGGATGGCTAGGCCTCTCGTGAGTATCCCGGTGGAAGATTAACCTATTTTGGTATTCATATTGGCTCTCTCTCCTAGTGTTCTTCTTAGCTGTTTCGCGATGTGGGACTATAATCGCATCAACAAGCAACGGATCGCATTTTGCGAGCGTGAAGGAATCGATGAAAGTAGGAGGGACGAGTTCAAAGATATGGGTAATGCCAGCCCTCTTTTCAGGTGAGTTCTTTTCTATCGTGTTTCAACAAAAGAATCTAATTTCATGTGGGACAGGTTTGCTATTTAGTCATGGTGGCCACTTCAATATATTGGGGTTCAGGATTATCATGAAATACTAAATATTAGATAGTAGAATAGAATGTGTGCATTTCCCCCACTACATAATGATAGTGCAATGGTTTCTTTTTCTTAATCCACAAAAATGAGAGGTGCTTGTCCCAGGGAGGATTCGAACTTCCGGCTTCTCGGAGCCCGCTTTTGAATGCCACAACGAGATGATTTAACCACTAATCGACAAGGACGATATGTTGACCACGATGTGGTTGAAATTGAAATCACACCAGAGCGGAGATCCAATATCTTCCTGGGGCGTAAATTCTTCAACGTTACTGCCGCGTCCATCCCGCCCTCCGACACGCCTGGACGCTGCACGCCGCTGTCCTAGGCCCTCATTCATCTATCCAGCTTTTCGAGCTTTATATCTGCCACGTAAAAAGCGCGAAGTTCTTGTCACAACTACCCATGCATTTGTACAACTTGACGCTCCAGCCGCCTACTGCGGTTACTCAGGCCATTGTCGGTAACTTTTCAGGCGCCAGGCAGCAGGAGATCATCATCTCTCATGGAACAAGGCTGGAGCTTCTACGACCTGATGTTCAGACAGGAAAAGTCTCGACGGTTATCGCAACCGACGTTTTCGGATCCATTCGTTCTCTTGCTGCGTTTCGTTTGACTGGGGGAACCAAGGGTGAGCCCTCGTACGTATCTGCGTTGCCTGCATTCGTTTACATGACATCTTCTCAGACTACGCGATAGTAGGATCGGATTCGGGTCGCATTGTAATTCTCGACTATGACCCCAAAACTAGTAGTTTCGTGAAGTTGCACCAAGAAACTTTCGGAAAGTCCGGAGCGCGTCGCATCGTACCTGGACAATACCTCGCAACAGACCCTAAAGGACGCAGCGTGATGATATCTGCTATGGAGAAAGCGAAGCTTGTCTACATCCTCAACCGCGATGCTGCTGCAAATCTCACGATTTCTTCTCCTCTGGAAGCGCACAAAAATGCTGCCATCATTCATCATATAGTGGGTTTGGATGTAGGGTTTGAAAACCCCATGTTTGCGGCTTTAGAAGTTGATTATACGGAATCTGATCAAGACCCTACTGGAGAAGCCTTCAAAAATACTGACAAGGTGTGTTTGATATATCTGTGAAAACGTTTTTAATTCACACAACCTGGAACTTTAGATGCTGACATATTATGAACTCGACTTGGGTCTGAATCATGTAGTTCGTAAATGGAGTGAACCCACCGACCCACGCGCCAACTTGCTCGTCCAAGTCCCCGGAGGTCAACTTGCATCGTCTGACCGATATGATGGACCTTCTGGTGTTCTTGTATGCTGTGAGAATCATATCATCTACCGCCATATGGATGTGGCACAGCATCGGGTACCAATACCACGTCGGAAACACCCTTTGGAGGACCCTGGTCGTGGTTTGATCATTGTGGCTGCTGTTATGCACAAAATGAAGGTTGGATCTTGTATTCCATTTATCTTCGTCCTGCTTTTACGTCTCTTTATATAGGGTGCATTCTTTTTTCTTCTTCAAAGTGAAGATGGCGATCTTTACAAGGTCACAATTGAGCATGAGGAGGAAGAAGTGAAGTCGCTAAAGATCAAATACTTTGACACTGTCCCTGTTGCTTCAAGTCTTTGCATTCTTAAATCTGGTTTCCTCTTCGTTGCGGCCGAGTTTGGTAACCAGTGCGTCGCTTCTTACACTATTGGACACCATAAGCTGCTGACAAGAATCCAGCTACTTGTACCAATTTCAGAAACTGGGGGATGACGACGACGAGCCCGAATTTAGTTCTACATCTTATCCTTCATTCGGCATGGCACAACCCCACACTCCATTACCCCGCGCATATTTCCGCCCCCGCCCATTGGATAATCTGGTCGTTGCGGACGAAATTGGATCTCTGGATCCAATCATCGACTCTAAAGTCCTCAATGTTCTACCCAACTCAGACGCTCCCCAAATATTCGCTGCTTGCGGACGCGGTGCACGGAGTACCTTCCGGACACTGCGGCATGGACTTGAAGTCGAGGAATCAGTTAGCTCTGATCTCCCCGGTATTCCAAATGCCGTCTGGACAACTAAGCAAAAGGAAGATGGTAGGTCTTTCGAATAATTACAACCGACACTGACAATAACTCAAATACCCTTTTCGCAGATCCATACGACTCCTACATCATCTTGTCGTTCGTAAACGGCACGCTCGTTCTCTCGATCGGCGAAACGATTGAAGAAGTGCAAGACACCGGATTCCTCTCCTCTGCCCCCACACTTGCCGTTCAACAGATTGGCGCTGATGCTCTTCTGCAGGTGCACCCGCATGGCATCCGTCACGTTCTTGCAGATCGGCGTGTAAATGAATGGCGTGTGCCCGAGGGCAAGACTATCGTAAGCGCAACGACAAACAAGCGACAGGTTGTTGTAGCTTTAAGTTCTGCCGAGTTGGTGTACTTCGAGTTGGATTTGGACGGTCAACTTAATGAGTACCAGGACCGCAAAGCTATGGGAAGCACTGTATTAGCGTTGAGTATAGGAGAGGTTCCTGAGGGCAGGCAACGGACGCCATATCTAGTGCGTGACGTTCTTCTCTTATCGGCTGATATTGACCTCGACGAAACAGGCCGTTGGCTGTGAAGATCAAACTGTCCGCATTATCTCTCTGGACCCCGAAAGCACACTCGAAACGATAAGCTTACAAGCATTGACTGCACCTCCCTCCTCCATTTGCATTGCTGATATGCTTGACGCGAGTATCAACAAGGCGCAGCCCACCATGTTCGTCAACATTGGCCTTCAGAACGGTGTTTTGCTGCGAACGGTTCTGGATCCTATCAACGGGCAACTAACTGATACACGAACTCGGTCTGCACCCATTTCCCTTTTTAAGCTGCAACAATAACTCAACCTTTCCACATTTAGTTTCCTTGGAACACGCCCGATCCGTCTCATTCGCGTTCAAATTCAAAAGAATCCCGCAATCCTCGCCCTCTCCTCTCGGTCATGGCTGAACTACACCCATCAAAATCTTATGCATTTCACACCCTTGATTTTTGAGAATTTTGACTATGCTTGGAGTTTCTCTGCTGAGCTCAGCCCCGAAGGACTCATTGGCATCGCTGGGAGTACACTTCGGTGAGTTCCCCCTTGACGTCTACTTCATACTTCAATCTTAACGCATTACAGGATATTCCAAATACCTAAATTGGGCACAAAGCTAAAGCAAGATTCTATTCCCTTGTCGCACACTCCCCGCAAGTTCATTACGCACCCTTCAAATCACTACTTTTACCTCATCGAGGGTGACCATCGGGTGTTGGGAGAAGATGTCGTGAACAAACGCCTTAATGAGCTGGTACGGTCATTCTACCGCCAAATATTTTTATTTCCTTACTTAGAATCGTTTCTCCGATTAGCGGCAACAGGGAAAGACGATCGATGAAGAAGTTGTGAACCTGCCGCCAGAAGACTTCGGTCGGCCCAAGGCCGCTGCTGGAACTTGGGCTTCGTGTATTCGCATTATTGATCCCATCGAGGTAGGACCATGGCTATACAATAGTATGCCAGTTTTCTGACCATCTTGTTGCAGGCCAAGACTGTTGCGTTGATCCCCCTGGAAGGCAATGAGGCAGCGTTCTCTTTAGCGGTTGTGCCTTTCTCTGCCAGGGGTGGGGAGCTGCATCTTGTGGTGGGCACCGCCGCAGACACAGTACTATCGCCTCGTTCATGCTCAAGTGGATACCTCCGGACGTACAAATTCACAGACGATGGCGCTGGTTTGGAATTCCTTCATGCGGTAAGTCGTCGAAGCACTGCAATATTTACCGTTCACCTTAATATATCTGGTAGACTGAGACGGACGACGTTCCGTTAGCAGTTATGGGTTTCCAGGGCCGCCTTGTTGCTGGCGTCGGAAAGGCGCTAAGAATCTACGACATTGGAAAGAAGAAACTCCTTCGCAAAGTTGAAAACAAAGTATGTTAATACGACATCCCTTTCAATCCGATCCTTAATAAGAATTATCAGACCTTCTCCTCTCCCATTGTGACGCTCGCCACCCAGGGCTCTCGCATCATCGTTGGGGACATGCAAGAATCCGTTGCATTCGCCGTCTATAAGCCGCCGGAGAACCGTCTTCTCGTTTTTGCTGACGACAGTCAGCCAAGATGGGTCACTGCGATGGCCATGGTAGACTATAACACCGTCGCAGCTGGTGACCGTTTTGGAAACATCTTCGTCAACAGACTAGACGTCAAGGTGTCGGATCAGGTTGACGACGATCCTACTGGTGCTGGAATCCTGCACGAGAAGGGCATCCTTATGGGAGCTCCCCATAAGACGAAGCTATTGACACATTTCCATGTCGGGGACATTGTCACGTCGATACATAAGGTGTCGCTTGTGGCCGGTGGTCGAGAGATCCTGCTCTACACTTGCCTCCACGGGACGATCGGGATTTTGGTGCCATTCATTTCAAAGGAAGATGTGGACTTCATCTCGACACTCGAGCAGCATATGCGGACGGAGCAAAGTAGCTTAGTTGGACGTGACCAACTGAGCTGGAGAGGTTATTATGTCCCCGTAAAAGCAGTCGTCGATGGTGACCTTTGTGAAACATTCGCGAGGCTGCCGGCCACCAAGCAGAGCACTATTGCGGGCGAGTTGGACAGGACAATTGGAGAAGTACTCAAGAAGCTTGAGCAGCTGCGGGTGACTAGTAGTGGATTCTGAGCGTATTTGTAGTGTTTCTGTTAAAATTTGTATCCTATATTGGCATAGAGCTTTGTTCACTACAAGTACAAAGTCTTCAGACCCAGGTCTGACGGTGCCCCATGACGCGCTCCTTCATTTCACACTCGATTCAACATGCTCAACATCGCTGCCCGCCCATGTTTTAGAGTCTCTCGCCCTCACATAGCCGCTCTGTCCAATAGGACATTAAACTTTCCGACCAGGTCACTCATTACGCTCAAAGACCACAAGGTAATTCCCCAATCAAAGCCCGCTCATAGCGCGTCTCACGATCGTGATAGTACACCGCCCATGCAACTGCAAAGGGCCTAGGACGCAATGGGCACGTCGAGTCTAATGGTCTTGAACTAGACCTTGCGACTCCTAAAGAATTGGGAGGGACCGGCAAGGGGGAGAACCCTGAACAACTTTTCGCGATGGGATATGCTTGTCAGTAATCATATCTTCGAATCGACAGTGCTCACCG